TACCAGATAAAGACCAAACCAAACATGCGTTATAGTAGGGACTCTAGTAATTATTGGCTTGATCCTCCTTCCTCCCTTTCAGATGGAGACGGCCTGGGCATCAGTATCATCGGGATGGGCGCAGGGGCTGACATGGGCCTGGAGAAACTGGGCATCTTTGTGAAGACGGTGACAGAAGGAGGAGCAGCACACAGGGACGGCAGGTGAGTTATTAATCTAATCAATCAGTTAATCAGCTAGTCTATACAACAATCTTTTTAAAAGTTTATTAGATTGATCTAAATAGATAATTTTTTTTCATGAACTTAATCAACATGCTCCTTGACATGCACAGGGCAGGAGAAAAGGTTGAACAAGTCAAATACATTCAGAAGAAAACAATGCATCAACATATAATATTGTGTTGACAAGTCGCATTTGTCCTTTTGCAAATGTTTCTATTTTTTGCTGCGAAAATGACTCGCCAACGTGGTTTTATCAGGCGGTCGACCACAATCAGTTTCCCTAAGCGATTTTCTGTAAACCCGTCGAAATGTCTCTGCAGGATCCAGGTGAACGACCTGATCGTGGAGGTGGACGGGACCAGCTTGGTGGGAGTCACCCAAAGCTTTGCCGCCTCCGTACTCAGGAACACCTCAGGAACTGTCAAGTAAGAGGCGTTTTTTTAGTAACCTTGCCTTAATCGGGCCTGTTGTGACCCAGTTCCCCGTCCGGGCTGCAGCTATCAGGTTGGGGTTATGTAGCAGGATTAAACGGTCAGCGTTTATCACCGGGAGGGTGCTACTCTTGCGGCTTTTTTTTGCGAGGCATTCTCTCTGCGAGCGGGACGTCCTTTACAGCTCCGCTTGACGTCCAGCATTCTTCTGTTAGCAGACGGTTTCATTTTGATGTATTTACCCGCAGCCAGAACAGGAATGACTTCTCCCACATCCCGCCCATTCATTTAACCAGACTGGAGATTTATATTGCAACTCTGACAGAGTCATGATTATAGCCTTCTGGGTTTAAAATAGCTCCATTTTAGGGACCGTTTGAAGAAAGCTCAAAGTCTCCGAGCTGCAGCTACAGAAAACACTGATATCATCAGGCAAATACAGTCTGGATCTTAAGTGTGAGGTTCAAATGCCAGGAGGCCATTTGCAGCTTTTTGTTTGCTCTTTGGAGTTCTGTGAGCACCTTTTGTTGTTCAGGCTCATTCATAATTCAGGAGATTTTATTTATTTATTTATATTTTTGTGGCCAGTGCTGTTGGGATAACTTTTAGTGTAATGTGACTTATAAAGATCAGAGACCTCTACGGATCAACTCATACATTATGGATCTGCTGCAGTGGCAGTGGAGGGGCTCACGAAGCTCAGGGTCTATTCAGGAAAAAAAAAAAAAAAAACTGTCAGTGAGACTAATGGAGCGGGACAGGAAGCGCGTTTGTGAGCATTTAATTACCCGTAAACGCCGCAGAAAATTAAAAGACGACAGAGGCTGGCTCAGCGGCCATCTGTTGCTTTGCGACGAGTTAATGTAGCCTCGGCTTTAATTTGACAGAGATTTGTGGACCTCTGTCCAGGCGTCTTATATCCTCTGTGATGAGCTGAAAGACGGGCAGAGTTGATCTTAGGAACTGCAGAGCGTTGCTCCAGAGAAAAGATCATTGTTTGGTTGTAAACAGGAAGGAAATGTCTGACTGCAATAACATCTTACTGCACCAGTTCATGAAGCTATAGCACTTTACCATATAAGGAAAGTACTATTTTAGTCTTTAAAGAGACAGTTCTTATCCTCCTTGTTGATAACAACGAACAATTTCAGATCACTATTAACTTCAAGGACAATTTTATGCAGAACTCTTGATCCACCTGTAGTAAATGTGTGTTTTGGACCATCTTCTAATGTGTTCCTGATCAGTAGTTATGCTGTCGGAGTTCTTATCACTGAGCGTGCGATCGCAGGTTTGTGATTGGGCGGGAGAAGCCGGGCGAGCAGAGCGAAGTGGCCCAGCTCATCCAGCAGACCCTGGAGCAGGAGCGCTGGCAGAGGGAAATGATGGAGCAACGCTACAACCAATACATGGACGAACAAGAGGTTCGATACATCTACACACACACACACGTACATCTCAGTTTTTCCGTAAATTCCAGAAATATTTGCCATCCCTTTGCTTAAAGTTTGATAATTTGGCAAATTTGAAGCAGCAAAAGATGGAAATTTGGCACAGAAACATGAGAGAATCGGGTACAATCCTATCTGTGTTCAACTTTATCCCCATTTTCCTGCAGCTACGAGCTTCTAAAATGCTGCTGTCAGGTGTTGTGTTTTGCCTAGAAATAATACGTGAAAGACCTTAATGGTCTTAATTTGACCTTTATAGGCTGCAGAGAAACAAAATCCAACTTCGAATAGCATTATGAAATTCATCCATTAAGATCATCTACAATATAACACACGATTAAGCAGTAAGCTAGGCTCAGAAACTGGGCCAATTCAGGGATGATTCAGATTATTTTGTACTCAAAAGCTCTTTGTGATTTTAAAATGAGGTCTTTAATGTTCTCTGTTTTTTTTTTTTTTTTTTTTTTTTTTTTAAAAAAAAAATTTGGGGTTAAATGCTTGTAGAACAGGACAGGGAGGTTCTTCTACGACCGATCTCACTGTCTGCATATGAGTGATGGAGGTCAGGGTGGTTCTTGAAAAGCAGAATGGTAAATTTAGAAAGCAGGAAGGATCGTTGGGGGTTGCACCCCATCTAGTGGACATTCACGGTCACTGCATGGATTTACAATTTTGCCTGAACATTGAATTTATATTTCTTTTCTTAGGAGAAACAATTTTCCACACTTTGACTGCAACTTAACTATAAAATACAATTTAACTTACAATGGAATGGAAAATAAAGATTTCTCTACTTTCATTTTCCAGCTGAAAATAAACTTTTCTGTATTTCAGACGTTTACGTTCATTTACCTCTCCGATCTTCCCTGTGCCCGTGTCCCTCCAGGGTGGCGAATATGGCACAGATGAGGAAGAGGATGAGGACGACGAGGCCAGCCCGCCGTATCCCAGCGCCATCGAGGTGTTCGACCTGGCGGAGAACGAGGACATGTCGCCTCTGGAGACGGACCCCGAGAAGCTCGCCCACAAATATAAAGAGGTGAGACACGAATGCCTCGAAGCGGGACATTTCATCTGTGACCACGGCTCACCTGCGCTCTGGTGCGTGACAGAAACACGGGTGTTAAAAATTCATTTCGTTTTCTTGCTAAAGCTCCAGATAAAGCATGCTGTGACTCAGGCGGAGATCCAGCAGCTGAAGAGAAAGGTGAGACTGACGGCTAACACGACTTCTCATTAAGCCAGAGGAGCTCTGTGCAGAGCAGCATTTACAACGGTAAAAGCCTGGTCGGTTTATTGAAACGGAGGCTATGTTCGTCCCTGCAGCTGCACCACGCCGAGCAGGAGAAGCAGCGCTGGCGAATGGACAAGGCTCAGCTGGAGCAGACCCTGCAGGAGAACAAAGAGCGCATGGAGAAGCTGGAGGGCTACTGGATGGAGGCGCAGAGCCTGTGTCAGGCTGTGGATGAGCACCTGAAGGAGACGCAGGCCCAGTATCAGGCCCTGGAGCGCAAATACAGCAAAGCCAAGCGGCTGATCAAGGAGTATCAGCAGAAGTAAGACAGCGTGAACGCATGCAGACACTTAAGTAGCATAAACACTCACTTAAAAAAACAATGTAGGAAAAAAAATCTACCCTTTTTTACTTTGAGTCCTTTTATAGCATTTTTGGACTGGATTCGGTTTATTATCTGAATTTTTGAAACTTGATGCATCAGAGGCCACGTGACTCAAATATTGAAATCTTATGCAGAAGCCAAAAAGCAATGAAATAGCTCTTTTTGGAAGCCAACTTTAATACTTTGTTTCATATTTTGTGGGGAAAAATAAAAATGATCCCCAGAAAGGAATTCCTATTTTTTTTCTCCTTAAAAGTCTATTATTTTTAAAAACTGACAAATTAGATATGTGATCTGGAAAAAAAATAAAACCAAAATATTATTGGAACTCTGTATAAGGTGCAATATGGGAGGGAAATATGTGTGGCACTACTGATATAATTGATATAATAAATTATTTTTTTTATGATCCCTCCCGCCCCCACTGAATATATGCGCTTATTTTTAAAACATTTTACACAAATATACCCAACGTGTTTATGCCCGATCCTTTGCTCTGATTTCTCAAACAGGGAGATTGAGTACCTAAAGAAGGAGACCCAGCGTTGTGCGCAGGTTGGAGCCGAGGCGTCTCTTCTGAAGGAGGAGTCGGGACAACTTCAGGAACAGGTATGGGGGGGGGGGGTAATTTTTAAGCTTCGTCATTAATGTAACTACAAAATACATACATTTAAAAGTTAAAATTAATATAAGAGGATTCTTTTTGCATTTTTTCGTTTTCAAATTCTGTGCTTTAACAGACCAAAAAAAAATCACTTTAACCAATGTCGGCACCGAACAGAAGTAATTTCAAAGTCTCACCATTTGGTCTGATAAATAAATCCGTTTTTTTGTTAAGACAGGAACTGTGTCTCTGCAGCAGCTGTTCTCTAAACGTCTCTTCTTCTCTTTTCTAGGTGGCCGACCTGGAGGTCAGGGTGGAGGAGCTTAAATCTGAACCCTTATAAAAGCCTTTTTTCATTCCATGTGAACCTTCACCTGATGAACTGAACTGCAGGGTATCTTTGTCTCCATCGTGAGCCCGGTCGTACGCCGAGTCCTCAGGCCTTGTGTTTCGGCCATTTAACCCTCTTAGCCCCCTTTTTTTTTTTTTTTTTTTTTTGTTACCGTTCACTGAAACGATGAAACGCAACAAATATAGACTCTGATGAGCTCTAAATGTACTTTTTCCTTTTTTTATTTCAGTATTTGTTTTTCCCCATAATTTGTTGTTTTGTGACAGACCAAGCTGTTGCTTTTAATTGCCAAAAACAAAATCCCTTTCTTTGGTTTTTTCCTTCTTTTTTTTTGACTTTTTTTTTTTTTTTTTTTTTCCCCTCTCAGTTTTTGTACAGATGTGATGCTGTGTGTTTTCGGTTTGGTTTGTAAAAAATTTTAACGTGGATAACATTTAACATAATATAAACCGAGATTTGGACGGTTGTTGTATATTTTCCGTGATAAAGATGTGGGACGAAGGAAGGAGTTTGCACCGAAGATGCCGCGGCGCGCCGATGGAACGAAGAGAACGAGTGGGACGTGATGTCTAAACCGTAGTAACAGTAACCTTCTTTTAGGTGTCTCATCACCTAACCTTGCTGCCTACTTTCCAGAAGTGTTTGTGTATTTTCTACACACTAAAAACCCATCAACAAGCGATCCTTCCTCCGGTTCCATCCCCTTGTGTCTTTAGAAGAGGTACCACACGAAACAAACCTGCAACTTCTGTGCCACAAGTGACAATGGATCTGTTTTTCCCCTCCAGATGGATGTTGCTAAGGACTTGTGTAACTGGAATTACCGATTCCTGAACCATTACCAGACTGGGAAATTTTATTTATTTTTTTGTCTTTTCCCAAAGTCGTTACCAGCAGCGAAGTTTTCGTCTCGAACCAGCAGCTGCACTTGACAACCACCGCGTGTAGCACATGGAAAAACACTGCCAGGTTTCTTACCTGTTTTCGGTTCATGCACAGTTTGAAAGCAGTCACCTGTCATTGCAGTATGTTTGTATAGTTTCAGGTCAGACTTCAATATTTTCAATTTGCGTAATCTTTATAACGTAGTCAAGGAAAAAAAAATGGACAAAAGCAAAGAAAAAGGTAATCAAATAGACAAAGCTGTACTGTTATGTTAAAACCAAGTAGTAGATGAGGGTGGTAATGAAAACAAAACCTAGGATTACTTAATTTAAAAAAAATCAAACAAAAAAAAACAGGCATGGTTATGACTATTTTCATAATATTAAGGCTTGTACAGTGCACACGCTTTGCATTGTATGTTTTGTGGAATAAATGGTCAACAGTGATGAGCAGCTGTGTTTTTATTTCAAACCATGGCAAATCTGTTTAGCTTCATTTCCTTTTTTTTTGTCAAAAAACTGTAGTGAATCTTGTTTTAATAAATTATACAATGTTTAGAGTCAAATGCTGAGAATGATTTTATATTGAATGTAATTTAAATTCTGTAAATTTAAATAAAAAAAAAAAACAGACCTCAAACAGAAAGGTGCAATAACTTTGTGTAAACTGATGCTGAATCAAACGTAGTCATGAGGTTTTTGGGGATAAACAATCCCCATCAATCATACTGAATCTGTGGAAATAGATCTTGTCCGTCTCTGGACGCTTATTTATTTTCAACCTCTAGCTCAAGGACGCTCAAGTGCAACCTGAAAGGATACCATCCTTTAACTTTTAGATGCATTCCTTCTCCAACACACCTGAATCAAACGACAGAATTACCTCAGAATCCCAGATTACTTGATTCAGATGGGTTGGAGAGTAATAATAAAAAAAAAAAAAGCTTTGCATTAAGTGGATGGACAAAACAGGAATAAGGATGACGCTGTGTTCTACTAACATCAAAAACTCGCGTTAAAACTGGTTTTGGAACTAAATAAAAACGGGCTAATGTCGGAAATCTAGAATAACTTTCACAAAGTTATTCTTAAACTTGCTAAAGTAAAGTAATTTACTTTAATCTGTGGAAATCTGAACTATTTTCACAGCAACGACAGTCCTTCTTGCCTACGTGTGCACCTTCTGATGGTGCCTCCTGAGATGATAGTTTCTGGAAAAGCTCTTCCCGCACTGGCTGCACTTGAACAGCCTCTGTCCCTGGTGAAGCAGCAGGTGAGCCTTGAGGCTCTGCAGGCGGCTGAAGCTCTTGCTGCACTCGGTGCATTCGTGCGGCCTCACACCCGTGTGTTTCCGCTCGTGTCTCTTCAGGTCTCCTGACTGGCGGAAGCTCTCGCCGCAGTGGGTGCACAGGTAGGGCTTCTCGCCGGTGTGAGTCCGGAGGTGAACGTTCAGCTGGCCCACGTAGGAGAAGCTCTTGCTGCAATAGGTGCAGCTGTAGGGCTTCTCGCCCGTGTGGATGCGCTGGTGCTGCTTCAGGCCGTAGTGGTTCGTGAAGCTCTTCCCACAGTCGGTGCACAAATACAGGACCTTCAGCTGCCTGATGCACGTGTGAGAGGCGAGCGCTTGCGCGTCTGCGCAGTTTGTCCCGCAGTCCGAGCACGTGAACTCCCCCTCCGCCTCCTCCAGGTCCATCAGGCCTTCCGAGTAATCCCGAGGATGGTGCCTCTTGATGTGTTTGATGAGGTAGCTCTTCATGGTGAAGGAGAAGTGGCAGAAGGAACAGGGGAACAGCTCGGAGGCGCAGTGGTACTTCTGACAAGACTTGTTTTTCTGATGCTGCCTCAGCTTCGCTGACGTAGAGAAGGCTTTATCGCAGGAGTTGCAGCGGAAAGATTTCGCCCTTCCATGTGCCATCTGTGTGTGCCTTCTGAGCAAACTAGACTTCCAGAAGGCGGCGCTGCACTGTCCGCAGTTCAGCGGCTTCGAAGTGCACTTGTGTGCCTTAAGATCGTCTGGGTTTCCGTATGTTTGCTTGCAGAGATTACAGCTAAACCACTTGTGCTTCTTGATTTTTGCATTTCTGACGGCTGAAGCCTCTTGCTGATTGGCCGCTTTGCGTTTAGGCGCTACAAGTTGAGTGACGGCAGAAACTTTAGATCTGGCTTTGAGGCGCTGCGGCCTCAGAGGGGCACTGTTTGGGGTGAGGTCTTTGGTTTCCACAGGAGGAGCTGAACTACTTCCCTGGTTTTCAGCCGCCGAGTCTTCCGAGTGCCGCTCGTTTATGTGCAGCTGCAGGTCATCCACCGAAGAGAAAGCCACCAAGCACTCGCCACAGCTAAACGGCATGATGGCGGCGTCCTCCGAATCCTCGTCCATTTTCTCTTTATGTTCATTCTTGTGGTGACTCTGCAGATGCCTGGCCAGGTCGTTGTACTGGCCGAAGCACTTGAGGCACACAGAACAGACATAAGGGCGTAACTTCTCATGAACAGCTGCCTCGTGCTTCTTGAGGTGCGCTTCATTCGTGAAGCTCTTTCCACAGACTGAACAATCCAGCTGCTGCATTTCTACATACACATCCACTTGGGCAACCTTGGTCGGGTTGCTTCTTTCAGTCTCTTCAGATGCAGCCGCTTCCGCCCGGCAGGAGAGTTCTGATCCGAGAGCAGAGCTCTCCGCTGTAGAGACCAGTTTGTCCGTAGCTGCGGCTTTTCCAAAATGAACGCTCTGGTGTCGGACCAAGCCGGACGCCTGACTGAAGCTTCTCCTGCAATGCGAGCAACAGTAAGGCCGCTTGTTGGAGTGGACGCACAGCTTGTGTCTCCTGAGGTGGGGGACTTGTTTGAAAACTTTCCCGCAGTCATCACACGTTTTGGATTTAACTGGATCCACCAGCATCACCAGAGAGGCTGGAGGCTCGTCTCTGGAGCCGGGGTTTTCCTCGCCGGCCGCCTCGTCTGCTTTGGGCTGCAAGTGAAAGTGCTCTATGTGTCGGAGGAGGAAGCTCTCCGTGGTGAACGAGAGAAGACAGCTGGAGCAGAGGAAAATCGGAGACGACGCACTCTCACCGCTCTCTGTGATTTCGGAGAAAAACGGGAAAATAATGAGTAACTTAATCTAGACTAGATCTCAAACACATTTTTTTTTTTTGGGTGACAGATTTGGGAAGTGAAAGCTACCTGTTCTGCTCATCTTCAAAGACAACATGTCAGACCAATCTTTGCTGAGGTGGGCGCGCAGTTTGCTGCTCGGCCACACTGTGAGCTCATCTCCGGTCTGGACGGCGCGGCAGCAGTGGAACAGGATGCTGCCTTTGTACTGAACGGCCAGCAGGTTGGCCTCGTCCTTGCTGCGAGCAAAGTTCACATACCTATGCACAAACAAAGACCGGTAGAAATAAGTTGAGTACAACATGAAGCTGAGCCCAATAAACTAAAAAGTTGATTGTACAGCAATCAAACCTTTGTTATAATTGCTGACCAGCTTTTTGAATGTTTTTGCTGGCATTTTGAACATTTATCTCTGATGATGAAATCCTAGTCCGTGAGGCTGGGAGGCCTCCTCGCCATTACCAGAACCTTTATCTCCCTACACAGATTTTCTTTTAGATTAGAGTCAGGAATCTGGCTGGCCTACTCCAAAACTGGACTACAACTTTCACTGAGACAAAATGTGTTGTTACAACTAGGATTGTTTAAATCTAAATTTGGATTTAATTGGAAAAGCCATGATCCACCACTTAATCAGCCAGTCATCAAAATTAATTAAAAACCTTCTTTTTTTTTACCTACCCTGAGAAATAATCAGCATCTAAAACACCAAAAAAAAAAACAAAAAAAAAACTGTTTTACTTCCTCACTGAATGCCAAAAACCCTTGAAGGTTCCCCACACTTCCTGTCTTTTACTTTGGGGCAAGAATGGGTACAAGATTGTCAGCAACTGTGCAGATTTATTAAAGTGTAATATGATCTTTTGAGGCACAATGAAGTTGCCTAAGAAAAGATTGTGACAACCTCTATGAGCCCTGATAAAGCAAAAACTGGCCAACTAAGACTCGCCCCATAAGCTGATATTTGGTATGCCAGGTTTATTTACGTTCTCTTTGACTAAACTTTATACACGCCTCAAAAAAGAAACCTAAGATATTATTATAGTTCTAGAAACATTGACCAAAGTTCACCACTTAGAAACGGTGAAGTCTGTAACATTTCTGCATGTGCTTGCACAGATGATAGACCCACTGTTGTTGAGCGTGAACCTATCAAAAATGCCCCATCAATTTTACTCTAGTTCAGTAAACCTTTACTGTGCTCCTGCTCAAACGTTCAAAATTCAATACCTCATCCAATTTGAATAGGAGTCACTGGTGGCATCTATGTACTCATACTGATCTTCTCCTTTGTAAATCTGAAAAAATTTTAAATAAAATGTTATAAGCATGATAACAAACACAAGGACATTAATTTACTGTTTGGATTCAGGACTACTAAAATCATTTTAAACTTTCACAATTTGTCACATTAAAACCATTAAACTCACCTCCCAAGAAAAGTCACTAGACATAGCATTTTCTTTCACTGTCACTTCCCCCTCATACGGTCCAAAATGCATTCCTGGAGACAGTGCTGGACCTTGGTTTATTACACCTACTCCTGCATTGGGAATGCTGGATCTGCCTATCATCAGGCCAAAGGGTAAAGTGAGAAGAGCTCGCTGTGGGACACCCATGGTCGTTGGAAAGTCGAGGATAAATGATGGACCATTAATGTCATCAGGATTACTCTGATCCTGAAAAAGAGGCAGACACTCCTCACAACCTGGAAATGTAAAAGCAAAATTGAATATTAAAGTGAGTGTACTTGTGTGGCTGAAATATGTTAAAATATATATATTTTTTTTTAAATTCCAAATTTGTAACAAAATAGTTTCTGTATTACTCATAAATGGATTCATCATTTGCACAAAAATAACTTTAGAAAAGATAATTTCTGCATGCAAATAAAGTATGTTATTATCAAAACGTCGTTTGGCTAAGGGTTGTAGCTTGCTAAGCTACCATGAACACTGATACCAGCTTGTCAATGCTCTACCGGTTTAACAGGTTTGACTCTTCATTATAATAAGAAAGGAAAATGGAATAAACTTACAGAAGCCATCTTGGCCCTCAATGCTTTCTTCCTGTCCCACAGTGCTCAGCAGTTTCTGGAGTGACGTTTCAGTCGACTCTAAATCAACCACCACTTTAGACACACACAGAGATGCAATGTTAGACTTTTATTTCTTAAAAAGTTTAAAAATATGGTTATCATACATTACCTGCAGGGGTGCTGTTCTTCAGAGAGAGGCCCTCCTCAGTTTCAACAACCTCCTCGGTTGTCTCCACCCACTCCTCTTCACCATTCTTATTCGACATGAGTAAAACCTCTGCAGGAAGTGAAAGGAAGTTAGTAAAACCTCTGATGGTGTCACTTTTATTAGCATGAGATCAACAGATATCCCGCAAATTCATCACACACATATCTCCTGTGCATTTTTCGATACTGATCCACTTTGTTGTGTAAATACACAAGCCTCACTGTGAACTTCTCTGGAGACTGCAAATGTTTCAACTTTTAGAAACCCTTCAAGGACTATACTGTTGTACTATACTGAGTTCTCTGAGGATTTGTCTCCACATTGACAGTGCAAGCTTCAGGAAGAGTCAGGAATCTGGCTGGTCTACTCCAAGTTTCCAGGAAATGTTCCCCAAATGCTCCATGAAAGTTAACAACTTTTGCAAAGTATCCTGGAGAAGGTTCTCTAAAAATTAGAACACCCGTATGCTTTCCATAAGGTGAAGACATCTGTAACCACAGAATGTCCCATAAGACCACAAAATGCGAAAGCTTTGGAAGACGTTTAGGGAACATTTCCAGGAGTTTTGAAGTTCTCTAACATTTAGGGAATATTGACAAACAGTTCTCTAATAAGACTGTTCCCTAAAGCGTTGTCAAGGCACACTGCACAGCATGTTCTGTTGCCCTTCTTTAAACACACCTGATTCAGGCTGGCGTTTAGTAAAAACCTTTTAATCAGCCATTAATTGAAATCAGGTGCACTGAAGCAAGCAAACATAAAATATGCAGGGCAGTGAGCCTTGAGGATCACGGTTGGGGAATTCTTCCCTAAAAAAAAAACAGTTAAAAAGTCTGTCACATCAAGATTATCTAAAGCATCAACGTCAAGTTCCAGAAAGCATATAGGAATCGTTCAATAAAAAGTTCGAAAATCTCGTATCTTCAAAGAGCAAGAGGAACGTTTACAGGAAACGTTCGCTCAAGGTTAATAAATCTTTAGAAAATTCACACTGGTTCTTCTCTTAATAGTGAGGAAAAACATAATAACGTCCCTAAAGGTGTCTAAGTTGTATGTAACCTTTAAGGAATATTACTGCAATGCTCCAGTAAGGCTAAAATTTGCTGGGCAGTAATTAATCTTTTCTCGGTTATGACGAATAACAGTTTATCAAATTTACCTTACCGTATATCATAGCGATAACTGTAACATGATAATTAGCCTCACATAGCTAAATATTACATCCTGACGTAAAAAAATTAAATCCATTTTACGAAATAAGAGATTAAAAAGTAAAAAAATAAAATAAAAAATCACAAACCTTTTTGAGTTGTAGCAACTCTAACATCGAAACTTACAATAAATTGGTTTCAAAAACCACATATTTTGACCGTTAGCAACATGAGGTCTCGTAAGAGGAAGTTACTCCGATGTTACACTACAACACCGGAAGTAAATACAGAAAACTTTCAGCATAAAGGGAAACATTGCGTTTTTAATCAAATAAAAGAACAGCGTCCTGTGAAATTCATTTTCAGTGTTTCTTGTTTTATAACACTAGATCATGTAGTCAAGAGTCATCCCTGCATATATTCAAATACAAAACTTGTAACTACTCGGATATAGCTATGTATGGAATAACCACAGAGTCTATACTGAGGCGTGTCGGCGCCGCTGGTGTAGTGGTATCATGCAAGATTCCCATTCTTGCGACCCGGGTTCGATTCCCGGGCGGCGCACGTCTTTTCTCTTTCTTTATTGCAGGGATCGTTGCATATCAAAGCTTAAAGATAAGATTACAGGGTAATTGCAAGATACAAAGAAGAGCTTAATTTATTTTGGATTCAGATACACAATTATTTAAATTTTGGAGGATATGTTTTATTAACGACTTTAGTTTTCTGTCGATCCTAAAATGTTACCAAACCTCAGATCTAAAATAAAAAAAACATCAGATCTGAATTATTAAAAAGTAAAAAATTAGAGTTTTAGCTTTCTTACTAGCATATGAATGGGCACAGAACTAATGTTTTTTGCAAGAAAGAATAAACAGTTCTAAAATTTTAAAATTTTAATTTCCAAACCTATATTTCAGTGCTTCCTTGCCATCTCAAGTAAATGTGGAAGAAAAGACAAGCATTCTCAGGTTTGAATGTGATGTATTAACATTTGATTTGTTCTAATTGGAGAGCTTCATTTAATTACAGCAAGAATGTGTAAAGAAGTTTATGAACAGTCAGTGATTCAGAGAGAAGGCAGCACTTGAAGAAGAAAAGTCCTCATCATCCTTCAACATGGATGGTCATTGTTGCAGTGGTAACATACCTTGCAAATATTTCCAATTAAAAGCCAAACATGCATCAGAATTACTGGATATTAATATATATTGAACTCTTTTGAGCACTCTATGGTCCCTGTTCAAGTTCGTGCACCCAAGGTATTTTCTTTTCTAAACATGCTGTGTCTTTGAATTTACACTAGAGGTCAGCATTGTATTATGTGTTTGGTAGCTTCAAAACAAATTCCCACAATGTTTTATGTCTTCACTCTTAGATTGATTTGGCTGCATTTTTTTATTACAAAAAGTAGAGTTAAAGCCTGATATTTACCCAGGCTTTCTGAAAAGACACAGTTCATTTCTCCTCTGTTTGACATTAAATAAGATTAAACTATTATTGTTTCAGGTCAGTTGGGATTGCAAAAATTGTCTCTTTTTGCTAGATGTTAGAACAATGACAGATATTTTTTTTTGTACTGTATTCAAAGTCAGAAGTTTACATACACTACTAAACCTTTATCTAAGTAGGTGTAGCCCAAATGATGTCTTGGTTTTGCAATGAATCTGAGAGATAACTCCGTAGCATTGAGTTAACTACAGATAACCCTTTAGATGTAAACACCATCATGCTGCTCCTATGTGTAATATGAAAGAAAAAAACCCCACAAAGAAATCTACCAAGATATCAGAAAGAGAACTGAGGACTCTCATAGGTCAGGTTCATCGTACGATTGAGGAGGGAGACAGGCTATGTGTATAAAAAATGAAAGTGTTTTTGGAGTGAAATGTACATAATCAAGCCAGAACAAAATAATAAATAGTGTGAAGATGCTGGCTGAGGGTCATTAGACAGTGTCATTTTCCACTTAAACAAATCCTGAACTGAGAAGAGCTGCAATGTCACTCAGAGAGGAAGAAGCCGTGACTCCAAACATTATTCTACCAGGAGACGAAATGGGCCAACATTTGGATCATGTTATGCAATTTAAAAAAGACTAAAAACTGCAAAGAAATATATGTAGATTGAAAAGATCTGGGTTACGCCTCTGTTTTGCTATTTCAGCTTCTGTGGATTTTGTGAAGTTTGTCACCAGAAGGAGCAGGTTTTGCCTCATCCGGGGACCTTCCACCCAACCGCCTGCCCTCCAGACCTTCATGCCTCCAGGGCATCGTTAGGAGTGACGAGGCTAAGGATCAGGGAGGGGAGGTCCTCTGCTTTGACAGCCACAGCAGCACAACAGTGAGGGGCTTGTGGATATCAAAGCATAGTGAGGTGGAGCACTGACTCCACTTTTGGATTCTGTTCATTCACAACCACGCCAAAGCCAATTTGATTTTGTCTGCAGAAAACTGAGAATGGAGAATCCTTTATTTTTTTCCCTGTGGTGGTGAGAAGTAGTTAGACAATACAACAACCCCCACCCCCCGCATCCCAAAGCTTGGTTTAGCTTTACCATGCAGGACCCCCTCCCCACCACGCCATTGTTTCATCAGGTATGGAGCCTCTTGTCTGGGACTAACGCAGCTGCAGGGGTTTTCAAAAGCGTAAAATCAAAGTTAAAAAGGGGAAAGTCTTCATGGAGGAATGCTCTTAGACTTTCAGAAGGCTCTTTTAGGGTTTGCAGTGTGGAGGAGGGTGCATCCAGGTTTATTTATGCGTGAGGAGAAGCTTTAAAGAAATGACGGTTGACCCCCTTGCGGTCTTCAAGTGTAGGAGGTGGGGTGAGGACCCGGTTTCGAACTTCGATCCATTTGGATCTCCATAACCAAAGGCTCATGTTTGCATCATGGTTCAATTGTCAAAATGATTTAGTCAGTTTTTGTCATGCCGCGTCAGCAGCATCTTTGAGCGGCCGTCTGGATCTGAACTGGTGCGATCTTTCCAGGCCAGGTCAGCCTACTCCAGTCACGCCGCAGAACGGGATTAACCATTTGCATGGAATTCAGATGTGCAGGCCGAACCTGCCCCGAAGCCATTTGGCTATCACACCGTCAACCACGTCTAATGATCTGAGAATCAGACGCAAAGGTTCAAAAGATATGCAAATAAAGGCACTCTCGTGGGAAGCCGAGTCATTAAAAGAGAAAATGTGCAGTCATGCATTTTTCTGCCACTAAGCTCAATTCAGTTTAGCTTAATCATGTAGCCACAAATTACAGCATGGCAAGTCACTTTTCAGACAGATCCAGTACAGTCCAGGCATATGATCACATTCAGATCCTAATTATAATGCAGTACAGTCAGAATAAGTTGATCATCAAATACTAAATGCCATTTAAACAACTAAATAAAGTCAGACAGTGAATCTCAATGTCAAATTTATTTGCATGGCACATTTAAAACAGCAGTTGACCAAAGCGCTTCACAGTTTACATCAGCCATCACAACATAAAACAAAGATTCAAACAATACAAATAAAACAGTGAAAAACTCATGTTACAGAGGAATTTATTTCAAATGTTTATTTGATGATCATGACTGATAGCTACAGAAATCTCAAGATTGCTCACTTGGAATTTTTTTTTACAGCAGCACAAGATCAATGAGAATGATTTTCAGATACAGAAATGTCATGTTATGGTCTACACACCAATGAAACTTTACAAAAGTAGCTGCAACCAGGTTCTCAGTACATGTTGTATTCAATAAAAGGACAGATTTCATTTGGCATTTATGACATTTTATTGGCAAAGTAATAAGCCCAATTACATTTTCTAAGATGCTGAATATTGGATTTTTTTTTGTTCACTGTAACCCACAATCATTAAAAAAAAAAAAATTCCAAAAAAATATATAAAAATATTTCCCCTTTGTGTAATCACTCTACTGAAACCAATAAATGTTTAGATGATTTCTTATTTATTAAGAACTACAGTGCTTGTAAGAACAAAAGTCAAGCCTTGGCAGAATAGCAACACCAGCACAGGGGACAAGCATCTCCATTTCAGAACCACTTCAAAAGTCAAGGGCAGCATCTCTCTGAGAGCTCAGTAAGGCGTGCATCAGAAAACCAAATCCATATGCCTTTCTGACCACATCAGCAGATAGAAATCATGAGCGAAAGTAAACACAGCCACAAAAAGGGGAGGCAATTAACAGGAACACCATTACTGAGATATATCGCTGATTAACATCCACATCAAGCCAGGCCGAGCAGATAAGAGGGTATCTGATTGCGCGTCGGCTGCATCTTGGCTTTACCGCTGCAGCAGGAGGATTCTTGTTTTCTGGAACTGGACCTCATGGAGATCAGAGGGGCTCCTTGATTGAGCTCCAAATAGCTAAGTGAAACCACTGTGACCACACATGAAGAAGATGTACAAGACCCCTGCTTACCACCAGCTTCTGAGAGACAATTGGTACTCACAGATAGCACCACAGATGCGTGGAATTAGTCGTTTGCTCGCTTTTACCACAAATGTTCTCGTTACTTTGCTTCAACCATGACTGCATGTTGTATGGAGATAGAAGACAACCGAGTTGCTAAGTTGAGGGGGGAAAAAAAGTCTTCACACCAAGTGATACATTTCAAGTTAATTTTGATGCAGGATCACAGGGTGGCTGTTTTTTTTCTAAGACATCAAATTTTCTGTAGACATAAAATGTCTGAATTTTTTTTTAATGTTTTTAAGTTTACCGCTTTAACAACATTGGTTTAGTTTGTGTCATAATATTAGGTCTTTTCTTTTACAAATCTAGTTGTACTGAAATATTTTCCATTTCTTAACATGGCACTTTACGTTTATGATTGAAAATCTAAAATACCCATTAAAAAAAAATAAATACTCACAGAACTTTTCATAGCTTGTATGCAATAACCACATACGCAAAGTTATTTGGAATATTTTTATACAGACTAACACGAAGCAGTGTGTAAATCTGGAGAGGAAGCTCTTGTATGTGCTGTTGAAGACTGCCAGTTTGCTGCAGATACAGAAAAACTTTATCCACCGTCATCAGGCCATGTTCGCTAGTCTTCGTGTTCATGGCAGGTTCTGTGGTGAGGAAGGAGCTGTAATGTTGCAGAGAGAAAAGGGATTGGCAATGTAAAGACCCTCCTCCTGATTCACTGCTCTGTTTCCAATAGATATCAGTAGAACCACATGTAGGAGGCACAGAAGCTCGACTTTTTCGCAGATTACCTCTCTCATATTACACCATCAGGACATTGTGAGAGTTTTAACGAATATGTAAAAAAACAATAAAAAAAAAAATAAAAAAAACATACTTTTTAATCAATGTTACCTGCTGCAGCTTTAACCATCAGATGTAAAATGATCGACGTCTTCTTCTTCTTGTCGGTTGGAAACAAACTGTTAGCATTACCGCTACTTAATGGTATGGAGTGTGGTTCGTGATGTAAATAAATAAATATTATTAAATATTTATCCATATCTATATATACATGTATTCTACCATAAATTCTACCTAAACATACACTCACACATACGTGCTTATAAATGCATAACTTTGTATCGACGTCTCCTTTAGAGCGCCAACCAAACAAAAGGCGCTGATTAGCCACAGGTGCGTGGAAGCAGCAGGTGGATCAACTCTCCAGCAAAGATCCTCTGAAAGTGAGATCACACTCTCATGGGTTCTGACATACTGGTTGTTGAAACCATTAATTTTCCTTCCGCTTCACAACTATGCACCGCCTTTTGTTGGTTTATTACATTTTGCACAACCCCAATAAAGCACACAGATGTTTGAGGTCATGATGTGGAATATCTGGAAGAGTTCAAATATTGATAATATTTCAGAGCGCTGCAGTTGCTAAACTACACAGTCTCTAAGGCTTATAAAGGACGTAAACAAAGTTAGAAGTGCTGCTGTGGCATGTATAAAGCTAAGATCGGATGTTTCTGCATACTTATTCACAGGCAGCTCTGATTTATAGCTGTCGGTCTGTGGGAATCCCCTAATACTGTTTAACTGGCATCTCACTCTTCACTAAGTTCACGTTAACAGACTGATCCTAAGACGTTAGCTCACAATCAGCATCCAAAACGTCCATAGTCATTTGACTCTAATCAACAAATTAAACATTGGAACATTTATTCTTTATAATCTGTCTGATTATTGCATTTTTGAGGTTTTCGTGGCATGTCGGTGCGAATGCACTTGAGTTATTGAGCTATTAAATCAGAGAGTCGGCTGCCGCAGACTGACCTATGGTCTGAATGGCCCTAACAGTCCACACAAAGCTGTCCCAGACACATGTAGGCGACAGAGTTAAGTGTCATAATTTCACTATTTTCTCAGACATAAATACACAGACGCGAAAGTCAAAAGGTCAGCTGCATAAAACTTCCTTATTCAGAGGTCAGGGGAAGATGGAGGAGGAGGTAGGGGTGGCACTTTGGAACAACAACCCCTTTCAAACGGGACAAGCTGCTTCCTGCCTCAAAGTGAACAGAAAATTAATTGTAAAGCAGGACCAAAGAGGTCCGCGTGCGTGACAGAGGAAGAAGAAAACATTTCAGACTCCAGAGTTGCATCCGAAAATTACAGGTTCCGTGTTACTTGATGTTCCCAAGCAAGCCATTTTCCATGTTGTTATTTAAAGCTCCATCATGAAACTGCAAGAAAAACTTTGTATCTTTGTTTCTTTCTTAGTTTGACTTTTGAGCTGGCAAACAGCAGCTTCCTCAAGTCAAATGCAGAGATTTTGCTCTTCTGTAGATCCCGACACCAGCAGAGGTCTCACTTTCTTAAAAAAATGTCATTACTCAAGTTCATCTGAAAAAACTTAGATATAATACGCATATTGTCTGTATAGGACAACTACAGCCTGGAGAGGATAGCACTGGAAAGTCAAGATGCAGCTTGAGCCAGTGAAAAAGGCTTGAACTGTTGGGCCAAAGTTATATTTTATGTCTTGAAGCAGGTTACAGAGGACAAGCACATCCCACTGGCCAATCACAAACCACACAATGATTTTAGTACGGGCAACCACTAATCACTTAACCGTTCACTGAGTTCTAAAGTAGCATATCACGATCAATTAATGTCCAGAAATTCTTTGACATGAATTCACAGGAAATGAAACCTAAAGTCAACATCATAACACTTCAAGTTTATGAAAAACCGCATGTCTTAATCTTTGGAGCGTCAGAGAAGTAAAATGTGAGCACGTGAGTGAAAAAGTTCATTTCTCAGGGTTCATCTCACATGAATTGTGGGTTTTCATCAGGTGTAAACCATAAAATATAGTTTCATGTCTACAATGAATCTACATAACATATAACTTTCACTTTTGCAAATGAATAAAAGTGTCAGAGATACTTATTTACTAAAGAGCACCTGTATGAGGGAAGAAAGAAGCTTGTACAAAAGCGCACATTTTACAGCAGCTTCTCCAGGTGAATTCTGATTTGAGTCGTTTAGCATTTTCGCAAAATTGATTGGTGATAATCAGCACAGACAAGCTGATTATCACTTTTCTTGCAGCTGTAACGGGAAACACGGAAGATCAGGAGGTTATCTGTTCACTCTTACAAATTGCTTCAACTTGTTCAGTTCCAACGGTATCACTTAGTGTGTCCATTTTCACTTAACTTTGTCTGTGTTTTTACTCAACTACTCTGTCCTTCTAAAACACCAAACCGCAGACGCAACAAAAACGACACTTCCAGACAGAGCAGCCTGTCTGCTGTTTTTACAGTAAATATTCTGTCGGTTCCTTGCTTGACCTGATCTCAGGACGAACCGAGGAAAACCAGCAGGTGTCCTAGTTTTGGATATCTCACAGCTCAGCGGGGAACTCAGTTTGTTGTCACAAGTGCTGGGAGACAACACTCATTCCTGCCTTTTATGGGTTTCTTTTCTTTGAATGTCAAGTGCAGCAGCTTTTTTTTTTTTTTTTTTCCTATTCTTGATATCAGCGGGATAACCAATATCGGCAGCATGTTTTCTCAAGCACCGTTTAGGTACTGCTGGAGGACGGTGGCCATCAGAGGATTAGCTGCAATTTAATTTCTGTAGCGAGTTATTAATTTGAAATTATTTTACTTTTACTCATGTAACTTAAGGTTTATTTGACAAAGTTTTGAAGGAATGCTTTTATGAGTCGCATATATCTTAAATTAAAAAAAAAAAACACTTCTTTAGCCCTTAGTGAGACATTTGTGCTAAGATAGAAATAATTGTATATTATAAAGCCAATATACAGACACAGAATCATTTTTAGTTTCTTGTAATGGCTTTTTTTGGATTTCTGTTTTTCGTTTGTTTTCAAAAACTGATATAGGATGTTCATTATATGAAAAAAATGCTTCACTGGCTATAAAACTGCTGATCAACACCACTTTAACGATAACTAGATAGACTCTAAAAGCAAAAAAAAATAAAAGTACTTTCACAAAGGATTGCATAATACAATGGCATTGTCATTGGTGAAAGCCGTATACTCCCCTCTTTTTCCCTCCACAATCCATTGAGTCCCGCAGCTTCTCGTCCTCCCCTCCCCCAGAGTACAGCTGTGAAAACAGCCCATATTATTGCCTAATTGTTTCCATGTGTGGCCTGTTATTTCAATGTGCCAAGCTGGACGAGTCAGAAATCGAGTCTGTTGCTGTAAAAGTGCAAATATTTCCTGGCTACCGAGTTCAATAAATTCTGATGCTTCAGATCAATTATTGGCAGCTGATTTCAACTTTCTAATGTGTAAAACAAACAGTCTGATTAGGAAAGCTGTGAGAAGGAAAACGACTCATCACACTTGGGTCTGCTGTGGTTAACACTTCCATATTGTTGCTCCTCATCATGCTGCAATAAAACACAGTGATAAATCCGTTTGGCTGACAGGTCCTACTTGCATTTTGCAAGATGTGAAACAGTTGCTGATGTTGCAATTTGACAGTTTGCTATAAATCAACAGGTTTATCAAATGTAAGCGTGTTTCTAAATTACTGCTCTCTCTTTTTTTTTGCATACATATTTGAATTACATATAGATGTTTCTTTGGTCTTTGCTTTAATTAGAACATTTGATTTAGCGCTGCAACTTTACGCCTCCGTTGTAATGTACGTAGTTTCATGCAGTGGCTTGCAGAAAGATATCATACCTCTGGAAGTTTTTCACATTTTGTCATGTAACAACTTTGTTTGGTCTATGTTAAAGTGAGTTTATTTGACAGGCAAGACCGTAAATTTATGCTTACTGAAATTGTTTTACAAATCACCCCTTGTACTAAATAAAAGTAAATAGTGGACTAAATTGCCTTAAATGTGTATGTAAAAAAAAAAAAAAAAAAGAAAGCATCAAAAGTTCAAAGAAACTTTTCTCAGTTTTTCATGCAGATGTTAGTCAATTTTCCTGCCATCTGCTTGAAAAGAATGACTTTAGAAATGCACATTGTAAAATGACCACAGTATCATTCAAAAGTAGAAATATGCTCTGAACTTTCAAACAAACCAGTAACTGTAACAGATTTTATCAGATTTGTTGTGATAGACCCTTGACCCATTGACAAAATGGTGGCCAAAAAAAAAAAAAAAAATTCAGAGATGGAATTGGTTTATATCAAAGCAGAATAATGTGTTAAAATGGCCCAGTCCAAGTTCACACCTAAATCCAATTGATAATTTATGCTAAGACCTAAAAATTATTGTTCAGGTGTCGTCAATGCAATCTGCCAGAGTTTGGGATATCTTGGTAATGATGAAGTGGTAGAAATATGCTATCCTGGGTCAAAATGTGTTTAAAATCCACAGAAAATCCACTGTTGTGTTTCCTACGAGTACCAAATCCCAAACAGAATATTTACGGCTCCTTTCTCAGAAAATCTGCAAATGGCAAGATCAAGAATGTAACCGATCCTTTCGCAGCTGCAGCTTTTAACAGTTATTGCTTCAGTAAAAGGTGTTCTGCTCAGGCGTTTGGGTTACTGTTCTGTTTTTCTTCAACAATAAAAGCACAAAGTGAGAGTGACATTGCTGGAGTTGTCTTACTCACACAATACCTCGTGTGCTTCAGGCCAACGTGAGTGTGTGTTGGTTAGTGTTGTCAGATGGTTAAAATTCCTCTTTACATGTTGAGAAGTTCCAGCAGACGGAAATAAACAAAAGGAAAAGCCATAGAATAAGCCTTATGAGATATAAATAACAAGGACTATTTCAGTCAAAACTTTTTCAGTCGACGACTGAGGTCATATTGGCAATAAATGAATAAATTATAAAAGAAAGTCACAAAAATAGAACATTTAACACAAAGTTTCAAACAGGAAAAAACGCACATGGGAAATAAGAGTCAAAAATTCAAAAGAACTACATTCAAGCTCATTAGGCTTTTAAGTAAATCTTTTTAGTGAGCGAAAATAATATTTGCAGTCAAGCTGTCTTCTTTCACTTAAAACCCATAAATGAAAACAAAGTGTAAATATATATAGTTTAGTGAAAATGTAATAATGTTTAACCTCATAAATTGATATATATATATCAATTACAATTTTCTTTCCAAAACCAATTTCTATGTGTGCTTGGGATCATTTTCCTGCTGGATTACTCAGTCCTGTCTGAGTTGTATCATCCTGCAGTTGTTTTGAGGTGAAGTTGGAGAACTTTATAGGCTGCAATAAAACTTACTGCATTGCACCATTGGCTACAAAACAAACCTTTAATAACCTGAAAAAAAAAATTGCAGCTCAAATTCACCCAAAAACGCGAAAGCTGATTGAGGACAAATATCAAGTGAGCACCGTTTGACAGGAAGGACCCAAATATCTTGGTCTGCCTGGTGACTACGCAACAAGGCAAATGCTGCTGGAACCGCAACTTAAGTTTGATCAGCAGAATCATAGCTGATATTTGGAAACCAAGTGAAGTTCTTAAGTCTCTGTTTTGCACACACATGCTGTTTACATGGATGCTGATGACCTCCTCTGTTATTACTAATCTGAAAGCAAACCACAAATCCCGACAGTGAGCGTAATGTTTTGAAAAAGGGTTGAGTCACAGTAAGACCATTTTTTTGAACTGCTGATTAAAACAAGCTAGTGACCTGCGACCGCAGCTCCAGCTGGCACGGCCTTTATAAACAACCAGCTGCATTAAAAAGGGAACCTGTGATTTTCGAAACTGTAACAGTGGCAAACATCCCAAGGCTGGTTGGAGCGAAAGTGCAGGACCGAATTGACAAATCAAGTGCTGCGTATGGCTTCACTGTGTGCTGCGAAAGGTTCTCCAGAGATGTCAAGATAGCTACGGATACAAGCGGCTGCAGTTTTTCTCCAAACATCCGTCTGCACGCTTCATATTGGACAGGTTTCCTCTCACTCTGAGTGTTTATCTCAGGCATAGGTTTTCTCAGAAGAGGTACAAAGATGTGACAGAGAGTTTCCTTGGCATAATGCTGGATTCAGACCACATGGCCAAACCATCAGTGTGACAGTAGTTAAAAACAAAAAGTCCTTAAAATCGTAAGGGTTGGCTAAGCTTTCCCACATGGCGAGACTGATTAGG